ATGAATTCCAGTGCGTGTTTGGAGCTTAACTGTAGTTCGTAGTTTTGCTCCATGCTTGTCCACTGGAAGAATGTTACAGATGAGACTTGAAGGTAGTTTTGTTGGCTGACGTAATTCCACAATATCTTTCTCTTTTTCACAACAGTTACTATGGGGTAAAGAACAGCTTTTAAAATACAATTTTATAATTTGTTCACTTGATTAACAATATTAGCATCAGCAATTGACCGCTGCATGCTGGAGTATTCTTAGACTCATCTAAAGCGTTTGATAAATCATGAAATTTGATTTTCTAAACTTGAGCATGACTGTGGAATTCGTGGACTGGCACTAAAGTGAATAAAAAGTTAACTTTCTTCACCGCAAACAATTTGTACAATATTTCAAAAACTCATTAATAATTCATGAGGAAAACACAAAGAAAAATTATAAGTGTGTCATATCTCGTATAATATATGTGATAGAGATTTCCCTTGATTTACATAAATTTAACTTTGATTTTCTCGACTTGAAAATTACTTAGCCAATGAACTTACTAGTTACTACATCGATCGTTTTTGAACCTGTCTGATAAAACACTGCTGCTCATGTTTTAAATAATACATCAATGTTTCCTCATCTCTACAAAGTATCAAATGTGGTGTGCCACAAATTAAGCACATCTATATTCTAGTCCTATCTAATAATTTAACAATAATATTACTCAATATATAATCTCTTTGCATCATGAGGTGGCCTCCCCCTGTGATACGTTTGTGATTTCCGCATAATACCTTGATAATTGAATTGTAGATTGATTTATTCAAACAAAACAAAACTTTACGATAAGACGCGATGTCCAGTCTACAATTCAATTATCAATTTAAGGTACGGAAATCACCTAACTGTGGAATCGCATAAAAAAGTCCACACTATATACAAAGTTCGCATCGATTCTTACAATCTTAATTCTAAACTGCAAACCATGGCAAATTGTATGTCGGATAGGATAGTTTACATAAGATTTTACTTTATTTTTACTTTACTTTTAGCGTTACTTTATTAAATTTAAAACTTTACTGATATTTTTATACGTACCAAAAGTCAACGTTCAGTTGTTTTTCCTGGTGCTCAAAGTACTGCTGTAGCTTTTCCTCTACCGTTTGAAGGTCTCTTCGACTACTAGGTAGATTCCAAATAGTAACTGGAACTTCTCGACTTTCGCTGTAATTTCCACAGGATCGACATACCATTTGAACCCTTTCAATCCCATAGCACGTACTAAATTATATGAAGATTGAAGTTAAGACTTAAGTGAAGAAAACGATAGGAAATGTTAGTTATTCTAACTGAAAGATAAATTGCATTTTGAAACTTTTTACACAATTACATTCAAGATGGTAGTTTTTAAACAAAACTTTTATGAAAACTGCGCGATTCTTTGCACGCAAATGTCACGGTATATATATATAGACAGTTAATGACCATTTTAAGGAAAGATGCGGATTGAGAGAGGTTATAGTTCTGCTTGTATTTTTCAGGTATCTTGTATCTCTCTCACTCCGCAGCTTTCTCTCTTACCGTCACTACCTGTACTTGCACAGACTGTTCGAGATTCATCAACATTTTCCGCTTACTCGTCGTACTGTATTGTATAAATAACTTCGTTCAATTATATAATATTATATACCTTTGGAGTGTGTCTTGACCAATTGACGACATGTATCGAAGAAGACTGTAAAAGAAGTCGCCTGGGTCGTCTTGATCGTTTGAAGTGATAATTTGGGAAGCAAGGTTCGACATTTTCAGCGATATTTCGTCTTGTTTCACGTGGATATGAGTTCGTGTTAAATAGTACAACAACCACGTAAAGTCATCACCGCCTGGAGAGTCCAGAGAAATACATGATGCTAGACACTGCAGTAAGCAATTTATGTAACATCGATTTTCTCTTGGTGGATTCTTCAAACCCTTTGTAGGAAAAAAGAAAGACTAATTACGTATTTTACGAGTATTAATTAAAATGGTACAATGTTTCTTGTACTTTAGTTTATACAAGGAATAAATATGGTTAGTTTATGAGGTGGGCTATATGACGATTTATTTCTTATTTAGCTACATATTATTTCTTAATTTATGTATTAGTTTTCCTCTGTGTACTGTCATTCTCTGCAAACCGGTGGTGGATACAAGAGGAGGGAGGGGTACAAAGAGGGGCGACCGGGAATCGGGACGCATTGGCAAAAGTTTTCTATGACCGTTTGAAGATTAACCTGGACGGTATTTGGAGAAACTTTTGTGTTCGTATTTTTATCTTGTAATGGTGCGCACTTATATGTGAATTAACCATTCCGAAGTTGACGAGTGGACTGGGGACGAGTGTTAAAAAGTGCCCAAATTAAGAAATGAAACGAATCGAATCACTGAAATGACCACCTCACAATTAGTAAGTATACAAAGTTTGAAGACGTTTACATGAATACCCTTCGAATAATAATCTTTCGAAAATCGCGATATTTACTATGAAATTTTAATACTGTAATTTTTGTTTTTGGAGACGCGCGTCCCAAAAACAGTCTTTTAATCAGTAATTTCACAATTTTAAAAAGCTTTTTTATTCGAAGGGTATTTATGTAAACGTCTTCAAACTTTGTATACTTACTTATTTTGAGGTGGTCTTTTTAGTGATTTTGTTCATTTCTTAATTTTGGCACTTTTTAACACTCGTCCCCAGTCCACTCATCAACATCGGAATGGCTAATTAGCCAGGAAGTCTTTCGCTTCTTACCCTTGGTGCATGATACTGATCATTTTTGTCTTGATTTTGTAAGTTTATATGTTCTGTGCATTCGCTCATAACAGTACTGTTAACGATGTCTCCTTCGCCAGTTGCTGGTGAATCGACCCCAAAACCGAAATCTACAAATCACGCAATATATTATAATGAAATGAATTACAGCTGGAAAGAAAAGGCATGAGACAAACAGAAGGGGGAAGGTGGGAAGGAAGTGGAAATGGTTAAGTCGCACAGGAATAAAACGAGGGAAATGTCAGATTTTCGAACATATTTCTAAGAGGTTGTCACCCATATAGCTTTACCTTCGTTGATTGTCTCGTAGTTGATCATCAATCTGCCCATCTCATCCAATACCATTTGCCCAATTACACCATTTCTTTTCATGACAACTGCCTGTCTTGTCTTCTCTCGCTGATTCCTTTTTTCGTTTCGCAGGTCGACAAGAAGACGCTTCATAAATACATGTGTTGCAGGGTTCATCATATTCAAGAAGTAATTATCCTTATTAAAGACCTGATGCAGCTGTTCGTGCGACTCACTATTGATATTTGCGTGTATTTGAGGACAAAGAGTTAAGCGTCGTAGAACATCAAATGGATTGGTGGAGTTCTTCTCGTGGAATCGATCATATAGGGAGTATCGCTCTGTTGTTCCAGTAACTGGGTGAACATTTTGATCAACAGCTGTGTTTGCCGAAACGTAAGTCCATTCTAGCTGTTTTTGAAGTTTCCCTTCACTTGCCATTGTGATATTTTCCGGTGTTGAAGGAAACCACTGCCCATTATTTGGAGCAAAGAAGTTAGGCGTTACTCGATTCGCAAATGTCGCCAGACGATTTGGAATATCCGATACATTTATGGTCGGCGGATACTTGAATGATCGAAGTAAATCACAGTAATCTCGTGGACCTTCACTTCTTAAAACAAACTTAATGGCGTAAATCCTATTGTGAGGGCAGGACCCGGACGCCCATCCTCCTAGAAAAATGTAAAATTGAAAAGGTAATGATACAGTACTGCCAAGAAATAACTTGTCCCCGCGTCTGCCCGCGTCCTGCCTCCAGAGCGCCCGCGTCTTGCGTCCACTCTGCCCGCGTCCTGCCTCCAGAGCGCCCGCGTCCGGCCTCCACGACGCCCGCGTCTTGCGTCTACTCTGCCCGCGTCCTGCCTCCAAAGCGCCCGCGTCCGGCCTCCAGTTAAAAACTGCGTCCGCTTGGACGCAGTCGTCGTAACATAATCGGAAAACGAACTAATGTTTGCATCATACTCGTAGTTTGTCGTGAGAATACAGATCAGTGTCACTGATCGGAGAAGCAAAGAATAAAAAGTTGAATCCGAAATCGAGTTTCATTGAACCTAAGCGTTACACTAACCATTTTATAATAACCATTTTATAATAACCATTTTATAATGTTACACGTTATACTACAGTAAGCGTAGTGCTTTCACAATGCGATCACACGTACTTGAGTGGCGATTGAAGCGTATATGACTGTATATTGGAGCGCAAAATAGACATAAACTATATATAAATATAATGTAGACACATATACTAAACTCAGTGAGATCACGACTACAACGAGTATATATCTCGCAACACATTCATTTGCTACTCAAATTCTGACTTACCTCGTAGATTACCGATTAGTTCATCTGCAATTCTGTATTTGAATAATGTTATGTCTCCGTAACTCGTCAGTATATTAAAACGAAGATGCTCATTTACAATATATATATAGTGCTTTTGATTTTTCATATAAAATACCATTACTACGAGCCACTATATAACTTTATTTACAGCAACAAGTTTGTGTTGTTTTTCCAAAGCAGTAAATGCACATGGTGATATGTCATATAAATTGATAATTACCATATAATTTCTGGATAAATGACTTCTCTTAATCCCTTAATGAATACCTTTACATGTCCAGGAAACAGTCTTTGTGTTTCAACACGGTTCAATGACTGTGACTCATCGCTTGATTTTCAAAGTTGCAGTATAATTCGCTAAAGCTGAAGTGAAGAGCTCAGACTAATATCACTCGATTCGTATTACTATCAGACTAATAAAATGAGGTATCGATCGCTCACTTGTCAACGTATTTTGGGTTTCTTCGAAGAACATATAAAACCATATAACGTGCATTTTGCCAACCGGCAACGTTAAAAGATTACTGGGTCTAAAGCAAACGTTATACGAAGGTGCGAAAGTAGAGATCAAATACGAAAAGGAACTTTACGAAGCACAAATTCTGAAAATTCACGGTAAGTTTAATGTTAGAAATATAAATATCTAGGATTCTAGGTCTGCAACGCTTGTGTATAAGCATAAAAAACGTGGTGTGAAATAGCTAACATGAATATTTTCCGACGCCCACGGTTTGTTTATGAAAAGCGAAACGCGATAATTTCCGACGATCTACGAATAGAACTCTTTCTGAGCTGCGTCCTCGCCCGCAGACGCAAAGCGGACGCATGGCGCCCGCACAGTGGACGCACCCGCAAGCGCCCGCAGACGCACAGTGGACGCACCCGCAAGCGCCCGCAGACGCACAGTGGACGCACGACGGACGCACGGCGCCCGCAGGACGGACGCACCCGCGGGCGCCCGTGGACGCACAGTGGACGCAAGATACCCGCGTCTTGGACGCGGTTTTTGATAAGTTATTTCTTGGCAGTACTGTATAGTTGGAAGTTCTAAATAGAGTTGTGCCGCAGTCATGTTTTATCTGTTTTGTTTGCAAGTAGACTGTCTCAAAAGACCTTAGAAGTGCTTACGTCAAGCAATTTTTAATACATATAGCTTATGGAATGCACAGTGCATTGTGGGATATTTTAGGTCAATTCTTTGTTTGAAAATTACGTGACGTAAGCACTTCTAAGGTCCATTGTAGTACGTTAACATGATTTACTTCGCCTTTTTGAAAGACACTGTTGTTTGATAAAGAGAATCGTGTGACTTTAGCAAGAAAAAGATCCTAACCTACACGTATATATACAGTTCCTCATATAAGGTCTTTTAAATTTTTTAAGTATTATGGAAATGAAATTTATACTCTGTTTTCCATGTCTTTCCTGCATTCTAAAAAAAATTTCCACATTTTTTGGGGCATATTTTTCGACCTTATAAATTAGTCTTCGGTATACATACCAAATTACAAACAGAAATTCATTGACAAGGAAGAAATGGAACTATTCACAGAGTGGCTGAGTCTGAATTTTAAATTAACGTGCAATTCTCATTCATTGTTAAATGAGGAAAACTCGAGGAGCTTCAAAACTAAAATTCACCTGATGCACCCCATATCTTGGTGAATATCTTCTTAAAATGCTCTGGCACGTTCAGTTTCTTCCTAAGATATTCCACAGCTTCGAGTTTTGTTAATCTAGAACTCTGTTTGGCACCCATCTGTCCGCAAAGCTTCTGTAACACATTTACCTGTATCAAACACATAAGCAGTTGTATCCAGATTATGATTGCCGTGTAAATGAAGAAAGTTCATAGACTTTTACTTTGTCTACTTGTACTCAGTCAAGGGAACATTGACTGTTCAGTATATATACTGTAGTTGTTATGGAACGTAAGCAAACGACGGTTTTGTCAACACAGACGTCATATGTCGGGGAGGGAGGGAGGGAGGGGACTGGATTAAAAACTGCGTTTGTGTCAGTTTATGGTAATCTGGAACACATATGACAAAACGTTTGAAGTTTTTTGTTTCCTTGCACTAGCACTGTGATGCAAAATGCCGTCAAAATTAGTTTATATACCAAATTTCGGTATCTAACAATGACGTCCAGTGTTGACAAAAACGTCATACACTTGCTTAAGCTCACTATTACCTGGGCAAAGTTCATCATATCCAAGAGATCCTCTTCCGAATAACTTGGTAGATTTTGTGGATCTATTACATCTTGTTCGGTGATGTGATGGCATTTTCGGTACTCCGTATTTAAGACTGCGTCCTCCTTTCTGGTGTGAGGGCCAATCCATGGAGCCCAGAAATGATAGCTCGGTTTTACATTAAAACTGCTCAGATCTTTATATGCACGAAAATAGAATATACTTAGGAAAAGGATAGCATATTTTTAACTAACATAAGATATTATAGTGAATAGGACAATATAGGTCTAATGTCTGGTTTCATTTATTTTATTTTTATGAAACTTTGCCTAGTACATACAAATACGTTTTTAGAAGTAACTTATTACAGACATGGACACTGACAAAAACAATACAGGCACAGACACAAAAGGCCAGGCAACGACAACACTGGACATTGAATCACGAGTAACCATACTATATTGGAAATCACCTGTGAATAAACCACTATAAATCACATATGAATATGATAAATCACCATAGGAACACATGAAGTCATGCAGAAGGTATTTAAATTAAAGAAGAATGATGTGGATTTTGTTGTATAAGAACAATATTTCCAATTAAATTATGCGGAGGTCCGAGTGATTTGTATGGATATACGTATATATACCTGTAGTTAAACCTCTTGCAATATGCATCTGTTCAATTTTGGTCCAGAAGTCTCGTGAATTAACGCGATCGGACTCCTCGCATTCTGGAGGAACGTCTAGATCATCGACTATAAAAGTTAATTTAAGGTGGCTCAATACAGTTGTTTTTTTTTTTTAAATGGAAATTTCAATTCACGATTTAGGTGCGTAGTTTTGGACAATTTTTACTTGTTGATAAACTAAAAGTACCTTATTTATATAAAACAACATCTAAAGAGTTTGAATTTTTGCACAAAAGCTACGCAACTGCAGTTGCTATGGCAACAATGACGTTTCAAGATGGCGGATATTTTGGCTTTAAAGTAATTTAACTCGTAAACGACATCGGTGACCCCCAATTTTATTTTAAAAATGACTTCTCTTCGTATAATCAATTATTTTGACAATTTAAAAAAGAAATTCTGTGGAGTCAAAAAAAAATTATTATAAATAATCACCTTGACGTAATTTAAAAAAATTTGGCTCCACAGAATTTATTTTAAACTGTCAAAATAATTGATTATACGAAGAGAAATCATTTTGTAAAATAAAATTTGGGGGTCGCCGATGTCGTTTACGAGTTAAATTACTTTAAAGCCAACATATCCGCCATTTTGAAACGTCATTGTTGCCATAGCAACGGCAGTTGCGTAACTTTTGTGCAAAAATTCAAACTCTTTATAGATGTTGTTTTATATAAGTAATGTACTTTTTGTTTATCAGCAAGTAGTAATTGTCCAAAAATACGCATCTAAATCGTGAATTTTCCATTATTGTAAAAACTGCATGCATGTATTGACCCACCTTAATGGCATATAATTGTGCAGTTAGAATAAAATATAATAGTTTTGTTTGTGGAAACACCACGTAAATAAATTTACGTGATGTTTCCACAAACAAAACTATTATATTTTATCACCATGCAAACGTACATGTACAAAGAACTTAGAATAAAATAATTTCATTTAGAAATCCATCGGGAAATCTTATTATTTATTTACATTTATATATTATTATGTAGAATCATCACACTTACGCATTAAAGAAAAGCATCCTTTTTTGCATAGATCCCAGTTGAGATGTGGAGGATAGTAACCACAAAGAACGCACGAGAAGTTGTAGCTATGATTTGTCAACGCTTCGAAATGGTAATAAGCATTACGCATGATGGATTGGTCAATTTTCACACCAGATACTTCAGAAAATACAGCTGCAGCTCGTCCAAGGGCGGTATGTTCCTGTTGTGCAAATGAAAGAATTAAACAGATTATGCCGATCACTAGTTTTAGTTCAAGGGCTATCATCTATGTGAATAAATTAATTATATAAACCAGCAGCAATGTATAAATAAAATGTTTATCATCTCCTCAAAAATCAACTTACCTCCACAAAAGCTCTAAGAAAAAGCATTAAACTTAAGCTGAAGCAGTGACTGTCGTTGAAGTTGTGAATTCCGTGTATATACTCTTGATAGCGATAGGTCATACCACATTCTGGGCACATTTTAACACAGATAAGTATGTTTAAAAATATGAAATGAAATGTGCTTAATTTTTCGCTTTTTCCTGTGATTGACAGGGCAGTTAACATTAGTCTGTTTAAATTATACATTTGCCTGGTAAAAACGGTACAAAACGCGATTAAAGAAAATTATTTCTAATGCCTTATTTACCGACACCACACTTTTTGTATAGTATATAGGGTGAAACAATTAAAACTAACCTTCAATTACTTTCGTTGTTGTGAATATTCGGCCTTTTCGCGTGACTTGAATGGGGCAACTGAGATCGACGTCCTCACAGTATGCACACTGCTCCTCAGTCGGGACCAGACAAGTCGGATATGTGTCCAGATCGTGCGTGATTGCTCTGGGTATATCTACGGGAATCCTTTTAACGGTATGAAGGTACAGGACCATCTTTGCCAAAACTGTTTCTTGTTTTGGTGGATAACTTAACGCAGGGCCAGAAGTGGATTGGGAAGTGCCAGTTGCACTTTCGAAACCTTCAAAAGGTCCGTCAATTTCATCATCACTATCACTCTGACTCTGTTCAGGATGATTGTCGTTAAAAAGTAAATTTTCAGGCCGCTCGACGTACAAAAACCATTTAGCAACGCATTTATGAACACAGTTTACTTTTGTTCTACAACAAGAGCATCCCCATTTGTTTTTATTCGAGTCGTACGTTACAGTGACTCGTTCGAAACGCGAGTAATGATGAATGTTACCATCGTAAACTGAAAAGTGCCGATACCGGATGGATGAGGGCTTTGTCGAATCGCTATACTCGGCAATTAATGGCGCTTTCTCTTGGAGAGCGTTGTCTTGCAATTTAAGGCACTCTTCTTCTCTACTGCGTTTAGACCAAGTAACCTTGTTTATTAGGGCTTTTAACGATTCTCGGGGTAGAATATAACTAGAATTGGAATTTTTGTTTACATATTGAACGCTTTTCAAATGGTTACAAATAAAATTTGGATTCCCACTTCGTTTTGCTGTGTTAGAAAGTTCTCTACAATCATTTAACTCGCACGAAAATCCACCGCTCACCCCAAAGTTGTGTAGTACATGGAGTGGATGACTTGTGCCACTAAACGAACGTCGTATCATGTAGATACCCCTGTTTGGATCGACACAAATACCACCTAAGTATCTGGTAGAATTAATATAATCGGGCGAAATATGATAGTATCGTGTATGATTTTGGAGAGATTTTTTAGAAGCAAAATCTCTGGAGCATTTGACGCAACGGTGACTGTTGGTGTTTGCATTTCCTTCCGAATGTGTATCCGGATTCTCAACGGCATCATCAGATAGGTCATGGTTATCCATGAATTCATTTTGCCTGTCTAAACTTGCGCGAGCATCTGGACTCGGTGATGCAGGCATTTCCTCACTGTGGTTCTGATGCTCTTCCTCCACGGTGGGTGTTGTTTCGTTGTGTTCCTTTACGGTGGGTGTTGTTTCATTGTGGTTTCTAAGATGGTTTCTAAATACATCATGTCGTTTACAAATTCCTGGGCAAAGATGACAACGGTAATGGCTGACACCGTCAATTTCAGGTTTTCCTTCACCATCAACGCATTTCAAGTAGCATCGCAGAAACTGATAATCTATACAGACAGATAATGTCAAGCGGTTTTTGGCCGAACAAATTGTCAAGACATTGTAACAGAGGATAATTAATTATTACTTCAGTTGATGGCTATTAGACTATAGGGGCCTATTATGAAACAATTATACCATTCACTCTCGTCGTATATGGCTGATAGCCGACTCGGTGCTACGCACCTCGTCTGCTATCAGCTCATATACGACTCGAGCTCATGGTATAATTGTTATATATATATATATATATATATATATATATATATATATATATATATATATATATATAGCTTAAGATTTTGGTTTACGAAACACAAACAGTGCTCAATACCATATAGATAGGGCGTAATATAGTTTTTCGTTTTACCTCAAAAAACCACAACAGTCTGTTTCATCCGTATAGGAATCATCGGGTGGT